ACCTGAAAAAACTCTTATCCGCCCTTTGTACAGAAAGAAATTTTTATTCGTTTCTGAGGCATAATGTGCCATTAAGTAAAAACCTCACTGTGAATGTAACATTATTTTTTTGGTATAATTCCAATTAATATCCCTTTACTGCAAATTTATAAATAAATGAACGTTAGAATGTTGATGCACTTTTTATCTAACATGGCACAAATGTATCAAGCGTTTTACCTAATACTAAAAACGAACAACTTTTTCACTTAAACTTTATTGTAAGATGGCAAAGTATATCATCAAGCTTAAGGAATAAAAAATATCAAAGGGTAGATGTCATGCAGTTTGAGAAATTTTAAAAGCTCTAAATTGTCATACAATCATAATAAAAAAAGGAAACTTCTTTGTCTAAATGAATAAATATTTAAAGCATGTGTAGACAAAAGGAAATAATACCTCTTGAGTCATTGCTTCACGCATTCACACGATGATTTCGAGGTATACACAATGTGCTACCTACTCTCTCGATCTCTCTATGATGCTTATTGAGAATTTTAGGACTGGATTTTCGTTTAATAGATAGACACTGACTGGAAAGAATACTTTTCATGAAGGTTTTTCTCTGGTTTTCTGGCTGATTAATATTAATTGCTGTGGAAAAAGTTGTGTAAGTGTTACGGTATCGATAAAAAAGTACATAAATATATCGGATAATACTTAATTTTGTATTGCTAAATTCTAGATAAATATAATTCTTGCCTATAGTGATTATGCTGTGATAGGAAAACTACTGGAAAATTCAATCATCGTATTTAGTTTTATCAGACGACAGAATAAACAAAAGTAGTTTCTTACTGGGATTTTTAAAGGATTTTTATTAATTGATGAAGAAGGTAAGCAAAGTTTCGTTGTTCACGTATGATTAAGTAATATAATACAAATAAGGTTTTAAAGTAACAGTGACTCTGCTTTCACTATAAAGATTGTGTTTCATTTGTTTTAAATGACATGATTTAAAAATGTTCTTAAAATCTAAAATTGAGATGTAAAGTTGTTCTTTCCCCGTTGGCTTTAGCCTCCATTTTTCCAATTGAATAATATTTCTTAGAATGTTCAGTTCCTAACCAAATAGAGCAGTGATACTTTTAAGACTGTTTATAGAATATTTTGAAAGAGTTTCACGACATTTATTTCAAAATAAAAGAAAGAATTTTTTTATATATTTTTGTAATTATGCTTGTAAAACAATTTTCAAACATTCAAGAATATGTAAAATATGTACTGCAAACATTTGTCCTCATTATATGTAATCATTAAAATATATGCATTCATGTCTTATTGAAAAAATTGACTTTAGACCTTGTAGAAAATAAATTTCGAATTATCTCCCTTTATTAACATGAAATGTAAATTTGGTAATATCTTTACAAATAATGCTTTTTGATATAAAACCATAATAAGTTGAGTTACAGGATCTTTAAAAGAAGGCGTAACTTCAAACAAAACAAAACAAAAGAACAAATGATATAGTATCATTACACATTTATCACTACAATAAGAAGCATAGGTACATAAGCATGCTATTTGTTCACCAATTTTATATCATGAGTTGCGTGCGCGCCTGCGTGTGTGGTGCGTATGTGTGTGTGACAACAAAAACCATTGCCTTGTCATTGACATAGACTGGTTGGAGACTTTGAAGCAAAGGAACAATAACATGGACTGGATAAATATTGTTATAACAGTTATTATTTTTAAATCAAATTAAATTAAGACGCAACTTAATAGGACAAAAAAAGAAAACAATAATGATAATGTTGAGAATGATGAAGGACAAACCTTATTTTTACCTCATGATTACTTTTCGATCCTGTATAGAATATATAGCATCAAATAGTTGCACTTATTAAACTGTGTTTTAAAGTAATTAGTCATGTAGGGGGAAAAAAGCAAGAATTAAACATATATATAGCATTTACATTTTATTCTATTTTGATGATTATAAAAAACCAAAATCGATAAAAAATAGATTATAGAAATGAAATGATCTCTTATCTATTTTATGCAATGATAGAAGAAATCACTTTTTTCGATTCTTCAGGCTAGCTTAAGTTCAAGATACAAATTTACCTCATTTTCCCGACGAAATACAAATATTTTATGAGCAAGTACAAATTATGAGAAAACATCCAGGTGTTAATAATCAGCGGTCCGGCTAAAGTACATGTAAGTTATAAATAAAACAAGAAACCAAAAGGTAATTGATTAACAAGGTTATTTGTAAAGGGTATGGGGTATTTTGGTGTATCAAAACAGTGGTAAACTATGACATGTAATAATTCTAATGGATCGTTGTTTTTTTCTGATTGCTTATCGTTTTATCTTATTTAATACACAAGCAAAAAAATCGAGAAAAACAAACAAACAAAAACAAACAAACAAAAACAATAAAAAACGTCCATATTTAATTCATATTTAATGAATGTTCTGACTTTTTTAATGTAACATCTATCAAGCTAGTTTACGGAATGTCAGTGGTTTTGGAATGTCAGTGGTTTTGGAATGTCAGTGATTTTGCGTACTTAGGTGTTTGCTTGCCCTGGAAGAAGCACTGAGGGCATGTAAGGTCTCTCTCCACTAGTAAAGCTAGGAAGTCGCCATATTATCTTTACTATGTCGGTGTTACAACCTTAAAAAAAGTAATGACATATCGTCTTTTAAAAATTTCCTTTGATTGTTTAACTTGAATATTTTTACCAAAACTATAATAGTTGTATATGTTTATCTAAAAAAACTTATTTTTAAACATTTCTGTCTGAAACTCTACAAGAAAATTTCTGAAACTTGAAGTATTCTAACTTCAAAAAGACGGATTTAAGACACCATTTATTTCAAAGACGTTACTGTTCCGTTTCATGATATAAGAAAAAGAGTTGAATTATGTCATTTTTACTAATTTATGACAATTGCTCCGTTCGCTTTGCAATTATGAACCAAATTAAGGTTAACTGTCTTAAAGTGTTAGATGCCCTTCTACGCAAAAACCATGAAAGCTTAACATGAATAAGGAAAATATATCTAATGCAGTTCTTACCTACGATAGATATCATGTTATGAATGAAGCTGTAGTGTATACGAAAATACGATTATGTTCCAAAATTAATTATAAAAGCATATTTTACTGATAAATTCTTCCGGCAAAATCTTTAGAGATAAAATGAAGATAATAGACACGTGCTGGCACTTTTTGAACATTTGGATAAGCAAGATATTTGTAGATGTATGATAAGCGAAAAGCTCACTAAAGTAAATAAAACTTGTAAAAGTGTATCTTAAAGTAACATTATGCCCATACAAGTTTTAATGGTCAGTGAACAGGTAAAAACTAAGATAAGTGGACATTTTGTCATAAATGTGTTCCATTTTATATTTAACTTTGAAAAAATAATCAATAATCAACATGCCAAACGGATATTTCTATAAATATCGTTCAAAATGTATCGGTTTATTCCTAAAAAGAGTGGGACAGTCATTTTATAATTTATGCCGTTTTAATATTGTATCATAAACGTTTTCTATTATCAATTGTTTGTCATTCAATTTTGTGATAGTTCATCTTTTTAAATATAATTCAACTCATTTTGACAGCGGAAAACAATAGCATATTGTCACTTTAGTTATAAGAATATAATTTATTTACGACAATCGTTACTTGTTTGCTACAAGTTTGTAGATAAGCAACAACATTGACAATCAAAGGCGTGAACAATAATGTGTCAACTGAAACGGAAAGCAAATTCTTCTTATGATCCGATGATGCAAATTGTGTTCAACATCTTTGTGATCAAATATGATATTATTCGGTAGTGCACTTTGATACAGGATTACCTGACTGCCGTACATAACCAAACATCAATATCAATATAAATGCAAATATTTAAGATAATGTTAATAGCATTCTTTAACATTAATTCCATTGCATTATATTCTTCATAAAAGGCAGTAACTGCTTTTTGAAAAATCAATGTCAAATTATGTAAAATTTACTTGTGTACAATAGTGATATTCCTGGTATCTTCTATCAAACATAGCATCATTATATAGCATTCTGCCATAATTATAAATATTGAAATAACAAAAAATTAATTTTTGATTGTATATTTGTAATTTCATTATTCTTTATGATTAATATTGCATTTTTATCCATGCTTTCTTTCTTGAGCAATACGTTTTTATTAATATTTCTTTCCATTTCTTTTATAAAAAAAGTTGTGAACAGCTTTCCGACGTTTAAGGTTAGCTCTTTTAGTTCAAAATTTTAGAAACTGTTCTTTTTCACGACATTAAACATAACTTCACATTCTTCCAACCACATAATAACTGAAGTCAAGAAACAGACAATTAATGGATATTTAGCCTCAAACCGGAATGAAGGTTCAGACTTATGCATTTAACATGCATTTAACATGAAACCATGATTATATTCTCAAGCATGAAATCAATTAATTATGCTGATTATGGCACATTTGTTTGCACTCCTATGCGCAATTATGCAGTAACCATGCTGTTATTATTAAGCATAAAATCTATCAATTAATTACGGCCGATTAAGATATATTTGTTTGCACACCTATGCGCGTTTAAATTTATCTATTGATACTTGGCTATCATTCCTAGGAATTGTTAGATCTGCCACAATCAAACATTGTAACAGCAATGATAAGTGAGCTCCTTTGCTCGCCACGAAGTGATTACAAAGCACTCATCAAATATCTGATATCTGTTCTGTGTAACGTTTTTCGTAGTTTCTCTTTGCATCGGAAGGTTAGACTTTGAACGATTGAGCGAAGAAATAAGCTTTTTCTCCGCTGTGAATGAATACAAACTACTAACCTCTGAAATTTATGTTTTGACATTACATATATATATATTATATATATATATATATATATATATATATATATATATATATATATATAATATATATATATATATATATATATATATATATATATATATTGGAAAATTGTCTTCAAAACTATGTTTTACAAAGTGTTTGAATAATATGATTTCAAGTGATTCTAACGTATTCTATTTCTTAGTTTGAAAACAAAATCTATTGTGAACAAAAGTTGATTGCTAGTTCATAAAACGTAACATTCTGATGTTTTATGTAAAACATAACTATTTTTGAGAACTGAACAAAGTTGGAATAATCTGTTATTTATTCAAGTGAAGGAATTCTATTTATATTTTACTCATACTGTTTGGATAACATGTGCTAGTTCCACAAAGGTAGGAATGTGTTTCGTTTTATTTTTAAATCATAATTGTTTTGTTTGCTGTTTTATTTATACTGCCGTTTTATTATTTTAAAAATCACTTTGTTTCATAGACAAAACCTCTCGATTTAGACTCTTATCAGCACAGACTTTGCAAAACTTTTAGAAAGATGCTTTAAAACTTTCCATTGAATTTACAATTTATTGTAAACATATTTTTTTATAATTTCATAAATTTGTACATTTTACATGTATACACTTATCATAGATCACTGAATTTTTATTTAAAAATATTTTTGCACTGCATAGCTACAGAAATAATTCGAATGAAGATTTGTTATTTACTAATGACAACCTAGGCGTGAAGTTGGCGGAGATCTAGGAATCATCATAGTTAAGGAATTTAGAATTGTCTGACTATAACTATTTTATTACCCAGTGGATGTTGCGAGATATTTTTATCAGCTTATACAAAAGTTATGCACGAAAGATCATATAATATTTTCGTACTGATTTTATTCCACTCTTAACATATGCTATGATGATAATTATAAGACAACATCGGGTCGAGAAAACGAAAATATTGGAAAATATTGAAGGTTATAAAAGTTTTTAGTGTTATATAATTGAATTTGATACCATTGACTAAAATAGATATAACACGGGACAAATATTGTCATATAGTTGTTGTAGGTAAAAGAATGAAATCCAATATTAATATAGGCTAAAACAGTTGTTTTATATATTGGTTCTTCGCTTATAAACGCTATTTCTCAACTACTGTGTCAGTGTAACTTAAATCCCAACAACAAAAATGCATAATAATACTAATAATGATACTAATAATAATAATTATAATTTAATTATAATAATAATTATAATTATAATAATAATAATAATATGGAATACAAAAAGGAAAACTGTTATACATTAACATTAATATTATGCAAAAACCACTACTGTATTCAACCAATGAATGTTTATTAAAAAACAATATTACGATTTAAAAATAAAAACCAATGTACAAGGATGAATGCATGAATATAATGTGTAATATTTAATAATTTTACAGCAACAATTATCTACTTAATATGCTTAGGAAAGACATGTAAATGATTCAACAAGACATTTATTACAATGTTTCATTAACAAGGAATTCGGATTTGCCTGGAATCTCTGTAGCATAGTTCCCGAAAGAATGTATGCAAAAGTTTGGTTGAAATATCAAAGGTATATTAAAGAGGTACTTAATGTTTAATTTGTGTTTACTTTACTATGGTTTATACATGTATGTGCATGTTATATTAAAGATAAGGAAAAGACAGAAAATGGCATTTTGTGAATTGGTTTAATTTTTTCTATAAGATATGTCTCACATTTCGATAATTAATATCACATGTTTAAAAATGAATTAAGCTAACTATTCAATATGTAATCTGCTCTATTAGGTTCTGTTCATGTTATCATAATTGAGTTTTTAATTGCTTCTCATTGTACTTTTTTGAACTAGAGGTTGACATATTGATTATTTATATTAATGCGATATTTATATCGAGATTATACTCTGTTCAGTACCTACTTCAAAAAAACTGCAATTTATCTCTCGAAAATTCATCTTTCTCAACATTCTTAGTGCACAGATTTATTCTAGAATATATATATTTTGAAGGTAATACAATGTATGCATATATTTACAGTTTAAGAAACTTACGTTGAGGGGGAGTTATTAATGGCTTCAATATGCTTTATCTGTGTATATTTGATAGAATTTTACAAATAAAGATAAAAGTGAAATACGCTGTTGGGAACTCGTTTTGATCTCATTCAAGATAAATAAAAATGATTGCGCAATCGTTTCAAAATTTGTAGCGTAAGCTTTGGTTCCGGTTAATAACAACTTCAAAGGTAAAAGAAGAACAGTGAATTTGAGTCCTAGATATATACTGGATAAACCAAGATAGCAAAAATACAATAAACTACATGATCAGAAACCACAATAGAAGAGAAAATGGAACTCATGCCGGTTTATAGTAATAAAAGAGTCTGTGAAAAATTCCATATGATTTTGGTTGATAAAAGTTCTATTCTTATACAATTGATATTGTTTTAAACTAAAGATATCATTTATTAGCTATAAACGAATTATCTTCATCTTTAAACAGGGGTATTGCATTACATGTAAACATAAGATATATTACTATTAAACAAACATATAATAATAAAATTATACACAATGTGTTGAATCAATATATTGTTACTGTGCATCGATCATAAAACAATAATCTTTTTTATAAATTTTATCATTAAATATAACTTATATATCATAATGATATATTTTATTATTAACGGCCCTTAATCTAGGTATGAAACAATTGTAATATTCCAAAAAAAGTTTATTTTGATGTCTAAGAGTGAAATATTTCCGCTGGACAAAATATGACATTATAGAAATAAACGAATGATTTCATGTTCGATTGAAATTCTGTTGGTGGCTTATTTCAATTTTTATTTTTAATCACAATGAAATGGGAAACAACATCGTATGCTGTTCAAATTGATACAATTTTCTAGTTAACAAAAAAGTTACACAATATGGAATTTTTATTGATTATAATTTAAGGGATTCTTGTTTGTTTATTTAATTATAAGTTAATTACAATTAAGTCTTAAAGTAAGCTGAATGAGTCTGTACCAATACATACAGGAATTAATTATGATCACAAATGCAGGTCTAGACTTTTCTTTATTAACAGCGGGTGTGCATAAGACAAATCAATTTGTTGTTAATTAGGCGCAGCTTTAGTATTTTGTATAATAATTTACAGAGATTTTAATTATAACTTTATTATACGTCTGTACATCTTCAACAGTGTAATGTTGTAAAACAAGACATTATAATGATAAACAGGTCACAGTTGTTAATCAGTGGAAGTTATGAAAAGTTTTAGAAGATCCGGATAACCATCTTTTAAATCAGTTAACTTGTAGTGCAAAATATATTTTCATATTGTATTACTTTAAAAAAAGAAGACAAAACACAAAAGCAAAAGTATAGAAAATGTTATTTTATTTGAATGTAACGAATGGATCAGAAGAAAACTTCTTTACAAACGCTTTTTCTCAGGTTGTTCTTCAATTTCAAGTTCATGTAAATAACAAACAATAAGATTAATTTTAGTTTTATATTTAACCGATAATAGATGTGTTTATTATGACTTTAATATCTGCCTTCAAATAAATAATCTAAGTTGAATAAAAAAGTTCAACTTACAAATAGGTAGTTTTCTTGGAAATAAAGAATTTGGTTTATATTAATTTCAAAATCCAAATGCACCCTTCCTTTTGAATTAGCAAAACCATACTATTTTATCATCTAAACAAGAAGAACATTTCTTACAGCAAAGACGAATTAGTCATTTAATTCAAACAGAACATATTGAAGACAGAAAAAGATTTATAATATAACCTCATACAATAACTATCAAACCATTGTATTTGATGTGAAGAATAAATTAACTATATTAAGTAATTTTAATTGGAACGTAAGAAATGCCGGTGAAATGTCAATGATCAGATGTAATTCAATTGTAAAACAATTAACAAAGTTATATTTTGTAATTATTAAAGTACTTTAACATATTCATTTGTAGTAGAATAACATTTATCTTTGACAGTTTTCGTACTTCCCTGCGAGCTTGTAATTTGTTTCAACATTTTATAAAGTTTTGTTATAATGAATTTGTACCACAATATGTTCTCAAGTACTTAAGTAATATATTTTCAAATTTTATGATTCTGAGATTATATTAAGTGTAAACAAAAGTTTCTCACCTAACATCTCCACCATATTCAATATTTGCTGATATAGTTGGTTCCCTTGAAATTAAATTGCATTTTTTACACGGACTAAGAATTGAATTGATATTATGGTGTGAAATAAGCAAATTACAAATTTTATTAAGTGCGCCTGTCCAATAACTTGGTTGAATCAGGATACGCCTGTTTATTCATGTACGCAAGAAATTTTATAATTGTTACAATTTTCTTCTTTTTTCTTCCATGCCATACTTTATTGTCTAAGTCCAAATTTACAACATGTCGAACATGTGAACATATACAAACATCAAAATATGTAGTAGTCATAACGCTGTTAGAAAACAAACAATAATTATGATTATGTCAAAATACATTTTACAAAAATAACGATCTAAGTATTGACCTATTAATATATCTTATATTATATGGAATGTTAAGTAAGTGGAACGGTTTGTAAACTGAATGTTATGAGCATATATTTACATATGCATGAAATTTATAATTATTAAGATTTTAAAATGATAACAATTAATTCCATTACATATTTTACATATATATGTACAAAATAAATCGTGCATATAATGTCTATAATCATAAATATCGCATTGCATTTACTAACAAGTATGGTTGTTAAAAAATTGAACTCAAATGATTCTTTACAAAAAAGTATAAGAAACTTTCATGTCAATATGAGCCTTACGATTTAACAAAAAGGTAAACGCTCATACCTTTAATTTGTAGCTTTATTCATTGATAGTGGCATATTTGCAATTATAACAATATTGATGTACTTTCATTTCTTAAAATGATAAAGTAAGAAAATCTTTAGATGAATTCATATTGTTGATTGTTGTTTTGGTTTCTTTTATTTGTAAATTGCCGGTTTATATCATTTTATGTTTGTTTATGATTATGGTATCGTCAATAGAAATAAATAAAGCCTTGTCTATACTCACGTTTACCCCACTAATTGATATAAATGACAGCCAAAGAGAAATTTCGAAAGAGAAATTTATAAATCATTGGTGATCATTTAGAGCCAAGCAAAGATGAGTTATGTCACGCTAAACTTGCATTAGTTTGTCATAAAAATCTTGATCGATGATATCAATTATACAAACATGAAGTAATTGGCTTGGAAGCTCAAAAAGATAAACAAAAGGCACTTCTCAGATAATGTTTAAAGGAAATCCACAG